CGCGGTGGGTGCCCCGGTTGGTGTGTGGCACTTTGAGCGCCAAATTCTATCCTGCTGGCGTATTGATCCTACTCGTTTTGGGAATTATCGTACTGACTGCCTTGCAGCTGTTGTGTTACAGTGATTAGCAGGGATGGAATAGTTTTCGAAGGGATCGAAACTTTTGTCTCCCAGAATATGAAAAGCTTGGCTGTTCTAGAAGTGATCCTACCCGAAAGGTTTCCTCATATAACTAGGAATGTGAACACTACATGAACTATAGAGCGATTTGATTTTCATGTAGCGTGCTGAGACACGTGGTGGTTTTGCGAACCAGCACTCTTTTCAACTTACAACCGCGGTGGTGAAGGCTAACAGAAAAGGATACTCGATGGATTGCCACAGTAAAGGATTAGAGAGTGCCCCCTTGATGGACTGCATTGTGCATGTTTTAATGCAGTGCCACACCCGAACGGCAATTGGGATTACGGTAACACTGATTCACACGGACTTTCAAACTCCTCTTCTCTGCACCTGCCAATCAGTACCCTTCGTTCTGGGACGTGTTCATTTTATGATACCCTAGAATAGATGCACCTTTAGAGCTGTTTGAAAACTTTATTGTTACACCACGTATAAGAATAAATCTAGTGAAGCATGTAGGCTGTCGGACCGCCCGGCTCCCAGTCGTAAGGAAATTCTTGCGCTCGAGATGATTGTAGTGCTCGACGCATGGCCTAAACAGCACATTTTCCATTTCTATAGAACTGCCGAACACATATAGATCACAAAATGGACACTGTTGTGGACGATTCTTCGATACTTTACAACTGCTTCTATTATAGAGGAACATTCCGCAAAAATATAGTACTATCCAATGGAGTAGTGATTGGCAAGTTAGGTTACGCTCGCCTCAACGACAGTTTTGACAACCTTTTTTTAGCCTATCGCCTCGCTAACAAGAAAAACTAATGCACGAAGTTTTGTTTCTGAGCTATACTATCTACGACTCACAATAGTTTTCGGAGGAAAATAGTAGGGAATACATGAAATAGTTATATGAAACCTACTCCATAAATAAACTGATAGTTTGGAGCATCGTAGTACTTCAGTCCGTCGATATACTGCAGTATTTCAATATACTCCCGAGGACATGGCGGTGGGAAGAGCTCCATAACATACATAGGCTGACGGACACGTTTTTTGTACTCACCTACCTGAAATCTAAGCCAGCTCATAAGCACAGAGAGAAACTTAATTCTGCAATTCCAAACTTGAACGAAGTTACCCTACCATTTCATTGTCAAGGGTGGAATGGAGATGTGGGATGATGTATAGGCACATCCAACATTTAGATATACGTGCCCACATGGGGAAATCAAAGATTCTAGCAAGGTAGCGTTGGTTGTGACGGTGAGATGTGAGATGAGGAACATTAAGGGTAGGGTACTTTAAATGGCTCTGGACTCGAGAGGAAGTAAATGAATAGCGACTGCAGAACGGACTATCAACACCGATCACGCTGCCCTTTTGTGAAGGAAAGCAGGAAACAATATACTGCTTTTCAACACTGGACTTGCTGCTGAAGAAAACGAAATCTGAAACTTGAGCAAATATCTTCGACTGCCGACGAACTTGGTTCATATCCTGGATTTCTTTCCACGGTAGGCGTCCATAAGTGAACTCGACAATCATGTATACCCATGTCTCGCAGTCATCCTTCCTGAATAAATCCGTGAAAAAGCTTGGAATCACTTCGCAATACTAATGTTTCACGTGATACACGATAGCCTAGAAGTTAAGCCCAAGGAACTTTCTTACCCTTTATCCTATATCGCTCCTCAAAAAACAAGCCAAATTTTACCGACCTGCGAGGGCCAGCTGGCTCAAGCCTTGACCTTGAGGGTTGCTCTACTCCCTGAACACAATTATCACACACCCTTCGTACTGCTTCGTCTGGCTGCGAGCAGTTCTTTTGGCCATGACACAATAGTCTGTCGAGATGGGAGAAGGAATCCCCGGTAGTAAATGGACGGCGCAAAGCCTGTTGTTGTGTTGTGATGCTCGATCCCCGCCTGGGGTCAAGACTTCTGCTCATGCCTCAGCATTCTTGTAATAATACCAGGTGAGCCGAAAAGCCACCTCGCAAGCAAGGACTGTTGCAAACCAGGGGTTATTTCGATTCCACTAACACCTTCGCAACATTATGTGTACAAGAGAGCCAGGGATACGATCGCTTTTCACAACCGGAGGTGAGTTGTGGAGACTGTATGAACTAGAGGCCCACGTATGCGTGCAGACAAACGCGGACGAGTACTCTGGACGCACCAGAAATAAGTCTGTGTGTGGGCATGGTCGTATTTCTTTACAAATTCTTAGCGCTCGTCGGACCATCAGTGGCGCGATGCATTCCACGAACGATGTAGGGGTAGTTGACAACGATAGGGTGCGTGAGAAAGCAAGTGCCACCATGAAACTCATGCTCTTCGCAATTACACTCACGTTATCATACACTGCACCTATTTGATAGAGGCTACTCGCGTTCTTTTCGAAACTGTGTTGGAGAACGACAACAGTCACAAGGCCCCTTATCAGCTCCTATCAATTGTTATCACCTTATCTCACCAGACGTCGATGTCTCCATCTCACCCTCTACATCGCCTGCTGGGACCAACGCCCCATTCTTGCTGCGCTGCCGAATTTCCATTACGAAACCGATCAGCAGATTGGAGGCAGCATATTACTATTTCCAAGGCGGCCTGCGAGTTAGTGCTACTACTCAAACTTCAGGTTTTCCATTTTTAAATTTCTTATTTGCACCTGCAAAGCTCTCTTTGAAGGTGACAGGATATTGGAGCATATCGTACGGTCCCACGGAACCCAGCCGCTTGCCGTGGTTTGCGGATGATCCCCTAAAATCTCCATTTCAATAATTAAACATATGAATGATGAGCGACTTCTTCGACAGTCAGTGGTTATACCCACCTGATCATTTGTGAACTTTCTGCACATACCAAAGTCAAGGATGTACACCTTGCGTAATTCATTGAGTTCAGGTCGTCCTATCGTGTAATTACCAGGCTTAACATCGCGATGAAGATAGCCAATATTGTGAAGATCTGGACAAGGTTCCAAAGACAGTGGAGTAATGGAATTGCCTTTCGTAATTTTTCAGCAGAATTTGCCATCTCAGGAGCCTTCGACAATATCTAACAGAGCCACATCATTCATACTATCCTACATTTCGTCATGCGGTGGAGGACAGAGCGACTTCACGATCATATGGATAGCGCTTCAATATAGAGTACGAAAGCAAGTAGTGGATTTACTTCTTCACATCGTAATCGATTTACTTATACGAATTAGTTCTTATACGTGACCTTCAGGGAAGAATTTCTACGCAGCAGAACACGTGCAAAGTGATGCAAAGCGCAAACCTATTTGATAGGGACAATCCTTCTCCTCACAAAGCTTTACGTATCAAGGTAAACTTTCGAACCTTCAAGAGCCTCCAGCGCTTGGATACCACATGATATTGCACATCCGATCGTCATATGCCCTCCAGGCCCTCCTTTATTCAAATCTTGTAGAGATTTACCCACAAGAGTCATAACCACCTGCAGATGAATTCAAGAGAAAGCAAGAGGGATTGCTGTGATGTGTTTTCCCGTGTTCGTAAATCAACCCACATAGTTGAAATTCCCGTATCTTCCTTTGTCTTCAATTCTGCAGAAATGTCGTGAGCCACGTTTTGTCAACTCTGTCAGCACGTAGACTTCCATTTTCAATACCTGGAAAACGTTGATTGGAAGCCTGGCTTAGAAACATTCCGAACATAAGATAGTTGGGTTTCTTACATGCCACTGATCGGGCACAATGATGCTCTGGAATACTTGCAATACTGACCTGAATTTGCTCGGCCACCCCTTCAACCTTGAGCGCGTACTGCCCTGTGTTGTCACGACACCGATACACGGCACCAAAACCACCCTCGCCGAGTTTCTTCTCGATGGTCCACCTCTCCACCTGTTAGTAACACCCGATGAATCCATTGTATACCACTGTCGCACCAGTTGCTCCAGCCTGCACTGCTGGCCAAAGTCGTACCTGCATCCCTGGCTGAAGTTGAATCAGCTCTTGAGCCATAGCTCTTGCTCACCTAGAAGACTTGAGTTTTTGAAGCAGCGTATTAAATGAAGGTAACATCTTGCATCAACACCCTTTTATATGGAAGGATAGCTATCAAAACATGTTTACCGTAGAAATCATCCATACATCATTCTCAAGGTGGATTTCGTGCTGTGTTATGAAACGTCAGTGGTTCTTCACGATAGCAGGCGATAACGTCTGCTCTCTCGCTCATGCTATCTGTAGTTTTATAAAAGCGCGTGCTTTCCCACAGTGCAGCATGAAGGCGGATGAGCGTGGTGCACCACGTGCAGCACGCCGTGCGGAATGGGTTAAGTCTACTTTCGCACTTAAGTCTGCAGTAAGATCTCCGAAAAGAGATCTTAGCAGACTGCAGACAGGGCGAAAGGATCTCTCATGAGACCGTTAGAGGGCATTCCAAGCAGGCTATTGAAGTGAATCTACATAGTGTTCTTCTTCCTTCTCTATAGACACTAGTTGACATAGACGGCGGTGTTGTCCTGCTGGGATCGTGCCTGTTATGACCAGGCTCTGTTCTCGAAGAAGTTTAAGAAGCGCGTCCTAAGTACTAGATTGTCCGGAAAGTTCTCAGCGTTTTGTGTTACTATTTTTTGTACATTCATTGCTGATTAAAAACTCATTCTCCCTTGCGTCTCAGTAGTACATCCTGAAGAGAATTTTTTGCGCTATCTGATGGTATAGTTGCCGTTTCCCCATGGGGGTCGTATTTGGCCGCCAGGAGAGGGGGGGGGGTCGTAGTGAGTGCGGCAGCCAGTAACGAGCAGCGCAAATTGTCAATGTGCTGAGTCCTGTACAGCGAAACTTGCTTTGTAGAGAACTCGGATATGCAAAAAAATAGTACAAAACTTTCATTCATCAAACTAATCCGAAATAACTGCAAATATTAATAAGTCGACATCATCTCGTAAGTCCGTTGGTGACTAAACAGTACAACTCATACTCTGGTTCGCTGCGGATGATGGGGAGTGTCCGCGATTGCGCTTGGCGCTGAGCCAACC